ACGGTCCTAGGGTGCACCACACGGTGGCAGGGTGCACCACACCACACGGTGCCAGGGTGCACCACACGGTGGCAGGGTGCACCACACCACACGGTGCCACGGTGCCAGGGTGCACCACACTACACGGTGCCAGGGTGCACCACCGCACGGTGCAGGACTTACCGCGAGGACACGTTCAAGACACAGCCCGCTGAGCATGCGTGTGCTCGGGTTGCCTACCTTGTCTTGTGGCACTACACGGCCAGAGGCGCGAACCCAAACCGCGCCCATGGGATTCTAGCCGCCTGGCGCACAACACGAGCAGCCGCGCTTCATGCCGGTCGCGGACAGTGAATCCAGCGAATAAACTGCTCGATGCTCATCGCTTATCAGTGCGTACCGAGCGTGTTCGGAGCAGGCTCGTGCCCACGCGACTGTGGCTGCTCCTGCTTTATTGAGATCAGGACAGCACTGCGGCAGGACGGCTCCTGGTGTAACCCAGGTGTAAACTGTGTAGCCAGGGTATGACTGACAATGGAAACCGAGCAAGTCCTTGAACCGCGAATTTCTAAAACTGTGGTGCGTTGTGAGCAACGGCACATATCACCTTCGCAGAATAAAAACCTATGAAAATGAAAACGCAACGATTGTTGTTCGATTGCTGGTCTCGCAGACCCCCTGTAACATCGCTGACGCCTGGCAGCGGGCGCACCGGAGCATAACTTCCTCTGGGCGATGCGAGTGGAGGACTCACAGGCGCCGCCCGTGCGGGGTTCCTATTCTAAGCACGTAGGGCCCGAGGTTGAGGGGGAGGGGGGGCATTAAGAGATTCGAGGGCACTGCCACTGCTATTCTGTGACCAGCAAACTGAGACGAAATGACTGCTGGCGGAAAATGAGGGCAGCACTGCTGCGCGTCGCGGGGCGGGCACCCGAAAAATGTGTGTACTCCTTCGTCCCTTTCAGCTTTCGTGCATGCTGCCGGGCCTGGCGTCCTGGCGGCGGGCGTGGACCACGCCCTCAATAGTGGTGCACGCCACGCCACGCCCGGGAGCAGCCGGGAGGCGACCGGCCGCCCTGGCCACCAGCCAGGCGGTGTATTTGGGGTCCAACAGAATGTGTGCAGGGGTCGGTGGGGCGTGGCGGGGGCGCGGCGCGCGGCCTCCCCCGCGCATCCCGACGACGACGCCGTCACTCCGGAGATTGTCCACCACAAGGAATATTTTGTGGCGAGATTTCCATATAGGCGTTTCCCTACAGCGTGACGGACCGTGACAAAGAGTTCCTCCATTTGAACTTCGGTCTTTGCTTGGCTCACAAGCAGAGCCAGCTGGTGCAGTTTTTCTGTCGCGCAACTCTCACATCAAGAGAAGAAGTAGTCGTAAACACAACACTACTCCTTGACTGTCACGTTATTACGCTCACACCTCCAAAGTATCGCGAGCACGGCGACTCGCGGAATGCGCCGGCCTAGTTCGCTGCGAAGCTGCGGCTCGACGTGTTACGTGAGCGATACGCCGGTAGGCCAATATGAATGCAAATTGGGAGAGGCGTCGACGAAAAACGTAGAGAGGCACAACAACTGGCTGTCAGATGTTATGATTAGCCACGGGCGAGGGCGCCTGATGAGGAATGACAAACACACGTGACTTTTGGGAGGGGGGTGCAAATATTACGGGGTCGCAAAAGGTTTCAGGACTATCATTGGAGGCCACAGAGACCCCATGATATTTGTACCCCGGGGTAAGAATATCATGGGGTACCCATGGACTCCAATGACCGTCCTGAACCTTTAGGACCCCATAACATTTGGACCCCCAAACCTAAAGTTACTTGGTTTGGGCACGATCCCCTGCCGGTTGTCGGAGGTTGCAGCGAACGTTGTAGAGTGAGCGATGCAATGTGGCACTAATGTCGTTATCCTGGCCGATTTTATCAGGGCAGCGACCCCGCGCGACTACTGCGCTCGAAAATAATAATGAAAAGATACGGTGGACGACGTGGCGTGACGGGGCGTGGAGCGCGCGGACGCTCTCCGGCCGCCGCGAGGCTGCCCTGCTGCCGCCTGTTGTTGCCCCCCGGGGGGGTCCACGCGGAGCGAAATGCGAATGCGTGCAAAGAGCAGAGTGAGCCGGAGTGTGATGAGCGAGTGTGATTCTTCTTTTGCATGACGTGTATCAGAGGAGCGAGCGGGCACAGCATGCGTGCCACAAACACACTGACAGAAATACACCCGGCGCGCGACACTTCCCGAGGCAAAGTAATAGTCTGAATGTTGTCTGGAACCTTGTCGATGGTGACGGTTAATTCGTAGATGAAAGGCAGTTAAACGGTAGCTCATCGGCAGACAATCGGCAGTCTATCGGTAGCCAAACCGTAGTCAAACGGCAGACAATTCTCTCTGTCAAACGGCTGACAAACGGCAGACAAACCACAGCCAAACCGCAGTCTATCATCAGCCCATCCTCAGCCCAGTTCGACTGAGGATTGACTGCCGTTTGTCTGAGGATCGACTTACGCTCTCAGACAATCTTCAGTCCTCTGTACGAGATGAAAATGAAAACAGTCGACTCGGCCGGGCAGCCGCCGGCCCGGCCCGGTACCGAACCCCGACCCCCGGACTGGGAGTCGGAGTGCTTGCCCACTTGGCCAGAGAGAGCTCGCTGGGAGGGGAGCTCGGCGGAGGCAGCTCACGGCAGAGCCAGATGGGGTTATCTTCGCAAAACTGTACGGAACGCTCTCGTGCGTAGGGTCATCGTAATCCGTTGTAATCGTTAAATTAGAGAAGCATCGATTGGAAAGAAGCACAGAATTAGATTTTTCACGCTATAATGCTTCCGATAGACTTATTATTTCAAGGTGGTCAAAACAATATAATACAGATACGGCTCTATATTAATTAAATTAGCTGCAACGCCATCTTGGTTCGGCCGCCGCCATCCTGCTCCAGCTGGTGCCTCCGCTGAGCTCCTCTCCCAGCGAGCTCTCTCTGGCCAAGTGGGCAAGCACTCCGACTCCCGTTTCGGGGGTCGGGGTTCGGTAGCGGGCCGGGCCGGCGGCTGCCCGGCCGAGTCGACTGTTTTCATTTTCATCTCGTACAGAGGACTGAAGATTGTCTGAGAGCGTAAGTCGATCCTCAGACAAACGGCAGTCAATCCTCAGTCGAACTGGGCTGAGGATGGGCTGATGATAGACTGCGGTTTGGCTGTGGTTTGTCTGCCGTTTGTCAGCCGTTTGACAGAGAGAATTGTCTGCCGTTTGACTACGGTTTGGCTACCGATAGACTGCCGATTGTCTGCCGATGAGCTGCCGTTTAACTGCCTTTTATCTACGAATTAACCGTCACCATCGACAAGGTTCCAGACAACATTCAGACTATTACTTTGCCTCGGGTTACGCTTCAAACAAATCTCTCAGAGAAATTATTGCGTACGGGCAAAGCAATCACGACGAAAGTGATAAAATAGGTTTTAGCTAATAAAGGCAGAGCTAGACTTTACATTTCGAAGCAATTGATTCAAATGGATGGTTAGAAATGGAAATATTAAATAAATTTGACTAGATCGTCTAAGATGTAACGCAAAATGCAACAGTGTTCGCGCTAGTGCTAGTATACCGCTCCGGTCGTGAGTGACAGCCCCGGGGGGTCGTGCCGGCAACAATTGCATTACTGCCTTTATGGTGCACTTCGCCCCTCAATTACTGACGGCCACATGGTGTGAGGCGTCCTGGACGGGACGGCCGGCAACTTATTCGGCGGGACATAGCGGTAACTAGATACTGTGCTATAGCATAAATGTTTTCTGCCGATTCCTCTACACGCCAAACGCGCCAGCACGTGGTTTTTACAGCACTTTGACGAGGAAAGAGGAGAATAAAAGAACGGGGCCCTGCTCAAGCTGAAAAATATACACAGGGTTGAGACGATTGGAGTTAGTCAGTGCCAGCAGCGCAGGAATGAGATTGGAGAGGTGTTGTGGTATTGAGCCACTACTCGCCACCACTGCACAGGTGCTGCACATGCCAGAGCGGAGCCAACTGGCGAGACGGCTTTACTCTATGAGGGGCAGTTCCATTGACGGCGTCCTGGTCACACCCGGCGCCACCTGTGGCGGCCGACCGCCAGGGCTGCTATAGGACACATCCGGGCCCATCGGCAAGGCAAGGCACAGCGCAGCGGTACAGTCTCGGTTCCGGACGATGACCGAATTGCAGCCGCGACTAATTCATGCGGGTTGCACAGGAGGCGCGGCGGCGCGCAGGGCAGGGGGCCCGCCGTGGGCCCGCCTACCTACCTCACCGTTATACACACACACACACGCGCGCGCACACACACATATCTGTCTGGCCCTTTTGCATTCCAAATCGAGGGCGAGGGTGGCGAGCGCAGAAGGGGGAGATATAAAGAGGCTTCGGGCGTAACTCGTCCTGACCTTGACGACAGAACTGGCAACGCCACACCCAAAGGCAAAGGAAAGAAACGGGGGAGGGAGAGGAGGGGGAGGGCGA